GTCGTTGATGTTTATGTAACCAAAGATATTTCAATTCTTCGATGTGCTGCACGACGTTTGAACCATGATGAGGGTCGTGTAGCTGTTTGGTGATTAGGGTGTGTTGACGATCTTTGCGTTTTCATATTATAATTGGTCTACCTCCAAGGTAAAGATAAGCCCAAACTTCATTTAAATCAACAAAATTTTTTGTGTTCCACTTACTAATTGTTAACTACAGTATATCGTATTTTCAGATTTTTTGATTGTGTTATAGATGGACACCGAGTAGCGAGTTCTGACTATTCTGCGCTGCAAGAATTTCTTTAGCTTTGTTTATATAGTTTTTAGTGCGTTAATGGTATATGTTGATCACATAATTGCAGTATAACAATCTATTGAACTTGCTTGGGTAAATGGTTTAATTGTCATACCCTTTATTATCTTACTCCCATAGTCATTTGTTATGGTTTCATTTGTCCAGGAGGAGGACGATCAAAATCTGTGGGGCTCTCAGGGGTGACCTGAAAAAAGCTAAAAAAAGAAAATTAGAAGGTAAATCGTATCAAGATATCAGTGGCCGTATCAGGCGGCATCAACAGGAGCACAAGCTGGAATTTCAAAATGCTATGAGTGGTAATAAAAATTTACCCATATTCTCTATCAATAATGAACATTAACATCATCATTTTATCAGATTTAATTTTGGAAAAGAGTATTTCGTATTGTCATTGATGTTTATGTAACCAAAGATATTTCAATTTTTCGATGTGCTGCACGGCGTGTGGCTTGATGATTTCGTTAGCTTAGATATTCTTACATGTTATTTATTTATTGCATACTGTTGGAAAAGCGTAATTGCATTTGTTTATGGATTCCTAGCATACTGAAGCTTAAGATATTTTGGACTTTTTCATGTGTCTATTGTGCTCTTGCAAAGTTACGAGCCACCAGTCTTAGCTTCTGCTTTGAATAAGGTTTTGTTGAAATTGCCTCGGGATAATTTGTCCAGTACGCTAACACTCATAGTCCTTTGTGTTATGTCAGAATCTAAGCTCAAACAAAAAATATAAGTTAATTCTTACATTTTTTGTTCACGAATTGTAGGTTGTATGATTTGTAGAGAAATTTTGTTAGATTTTTTCCCCTAGAGTCTACAACCGGCGAACAGGACGTATAGGGACCAGATGCACCCTGAACATACATTTCCCTTCAGGTACGTATATAGCAATTTACATGTTTTAATATTCTATATTTGTTGTTCTTTCCATTCCTGTATAAATCATCAATTTATTTAAACATTTAAGTGATACTTTTTGTTGAGTGTTTAACTAAAATTTAGAATTTTGTCTCACATGACCAAAAGAGGTCTGATGGGTGATATCAGTGGAACCACCTACTCAGAAAAAAAAAAACACTTTTCGAAGTTAGCGAGGTTGAGTGCGACAACAAAGTCAATAGGTTCTTTATTGTAACGCATTAGGTGGTATTCTAAGAAGGAGGTCACGTTGTATGATATATGGTTGGCTCACGCCTGCAGAAAGGGCGGGCTTCTTGAGGATATAAAGAAGTTTTTGCTTCATATGAATGAGAGAATGGTTTTTTCCCAATTCCAAGGTGTATGCAAGGGTGATAGAGGCCTATGGTCAGGCGGCTTTTTTTAGAGGAAACTATTATTGCGTTCGAACTATATTTTTAAGGTGTTAATATCAAAACATGAACCAGATTCATGTTGAACTTATCATGTGGTGTTTATTGCTTCTTAAATACCTGTGATTTGGGGATTTGACTCAATATTTGGTGTAATGTTTATGCATACTTTTTTTTTATATGTAATGACTTCCAATATCACTACCCTAAATTTGTGATTACATGGAAGCTAGAGTAGTTAGATTGACCAGTTGGAGAAATACAATTTTAAGTTTTAGATCTATCTCTATAGGTATTTCTTCCAAGGATATATGAAGCTTCATTTCAGTTTTTTATTGAGAAAGATTTCTATAACAAAGAGGCCCCAACCACAATGTTAACGATATACTCTAGCTCTGGGACACATCTTTTTTTTTCCCCTTTTATAATTGAAAATTTACATCTCGAAGAGTACTAATTAGTTTAGGCTGAAATGAGGGAGATGATGACTGCCAGGTTGGTTTTAATTAGTTAACTCATAATTATTATGATGGTTTTATTAGTTATTTGTGATTGGTTGCTTTGCAGAGTTTAGAGCCCTTTCGGACCAGCTATTTTAGGAGTAAGATTACCATAAATATGTCAGAAAGGAGCTCATCAAATTGGTAGATTAATCCCAATTACCTATGTTTGCCTTTTTAATTTCATACGTATTCAGCTTTTAAAATATTTACTTTTTTTTGGATTTTTTGATTCCAGAACATACTTATACAACTCTGATAATTGATCCCACAAGTTACATTGTTTCAAATACATAAGAGGTTCATGTTTTGATTTCCAGGATAATCTACTTCCGTCAGACTTTATTTTGGGCAGCACTTTGCTGAAAGCTATTGTCGAAGAATCTATTTGCATGTTTAAAATCATATCCAATGAGATGAGGCCATTCAAAGTTAAAATTAATGTTTGTTATAATGCAACTTTAGCAATAATCTATTATGTGTTATAAAATCATATCCAACTTTAGAACATTGATCTTAATGTTGATGTTAAGCTTTTGTGCGTGCCAGTTGGTAACAAGTCATTTAAGCTTGAGGTAGATATGTAAACCCATTTCATTTCTTCTACAACATACGCAAACCTCGCTAATAAACTGCCTACGGATTGTTATATGCAGTACCATTTTTTATGTTGATGCATACGTGATTGTTCTCTTTCTTATAATGTTGCACGCCTGAGGGATAGCTGATGGTTGGTGGCGAAAGGCGGCGCAATTGCACTTATGAACCTCAACGGGGACGAAAAGGGTCAATCGAGGGCCTTGCTGAATTCCAAAATACCAGAAGTCGTGAGCTGAGATGGCGACTGAAGGAAGGCTGACCGAAACTTCGTGCGGCAGACTCCAATAACTCAGATCTATGGCAGCCCCACGATAGATTAACATGACAGCGCTACGCGTGGCGTCCAGATCTTGAAGTTGGCGGCAACTCACAGGTCGAGAAAGGCGATGAGAATGTACCATTCCGACATTATTTTATGGGTTTTAGTGATTTTGGTAGTGTTTGTAGTCGACATTGTGACGAAATTAGACTATTGGATATGGAAAGAAACAGTCATGTGGTGTACAATTGTTGTCCGCATTTTATTATATATATATAAAGATTTGATCATTTTTAAAATAGTAAGCCTCTCTCATCTCACCACCGAGGACACTCTTCGCGATGTATGCATACGCTTTGTTTGTGCGTGTAAAATGTCTGAGTTGCGTTTGTTTCTGTGTGTGTAGAACTTGAAATAGTAATGTGATGTTATGGCATATCTGATGTATGGTTTCTTTTTGCTGGTGGTTTATTAGGCTATGAACAAGTATGGGAAGGTGAAGAACTTGCGTTTGGTCTGGCACATAGGTATATTTTATTTTTATTTTTTTAATTCAAGTTTAAGAAAATACATATGGTTTCTTTTCGTTGTCTCAATAAGAGCGAGCTTGTTGTTAGGCAGAATTTTCAGATGCCAGTGATGACATTTTTGAATTGAATGGTCAAAATAAACGAGCTTATCGAAATTTACTGAAACCTTTTTAAGAGAAAGCTAACAAGTTGTTTACATATTCGGGGTTCAAAGCCCTTGCAAAAAACTTGTACACAATCGACGACCTCTTGACAAATACTACTTTCTCGAGTTCTGTAAGTCGATTATCGGTCGTTGTTGGGTGACCTTATCGGGTTTTTGCTTTGGTTTGCTGATCAATGGTGGTCATTGTTTTATTGTGGCTTGTTTGGGCAACTTGTTTTGATGTAATTTTGTGTCGAATGTTGGGGTTAGGATTTCTCTTATCTGAATAGCACTTACAAAAACTCTAAATATGCAACTGACCCAGTCATCAACCTATGTAGAAAAAAATTTAAGCTGGTGGTTGTATAATTTAATGGAAAATGCTAAATGAATTGGGTGATTTGTTTTTGCTTTTCTATAGAGTTATATGGGCTGTTGACAGGCTATAGCCTTTCAGTCTGTATTTTTTTTAAAAAAAATGGCGCCACGGTTAACCTGTTCACGGAGAAGTTCGAACAATGAATGATACATCTCTTCTTTTGTTGTGTTCTTACATTTTTTGTTGAGTTTAATTCTGTTGTCCGTGTGTAAACATTGAATTGGCCTTCTGACTTCTTTCATGAACGAAATTTTGCAGTTGCACAAGAAGCCACTCAACAAAAGGATTACCGGAGTGAGGTGTGTTATGTCGATGCTACTTGTGGTGCATCCCGAATATAAATATTTTGTTGTAAAAAATGTGTGGAAAATTTAATTGAAAATAAATAGTGGCATTTTGGTTGCTCCGTAAAATGTGGATAAGTTTGTTTTAAAAATTTTACAAATACTAGATATAATTATAAACTGAACTAGGGCCGGCATGTGTCCTTTTTGGACAAATATGTCCTTCCTATTTTCTTTGTGAAAAAAATCACTTCTCCAACTGTCAAGAAAAAAAGAACACGTGTCGGCCCTAGGAAGAAAATAGGAAGGACATATTTGTGAAAAACATTTTAAATAAACAAAAAAATGTGGCATTTTGGTTGCTCCATAAAATGTGGGTAAGTGTGTTTTAAAAATTTTACAAATACTAGATATAATTATAGACTGGACTAGGGCCAACTTTGCGTGCACAGCCGGGTCCAATCTAGTATAATTTATATAAAACTAACTAAAATCAGGGTTAGGCGGGACGAGGCAGCCCAAGATACAAGACCCGGATATGACCCGCTTAATTTACAGGTCTGTCTTAGCCCAACCCATTTCAGAAACAGGGCAAATTTGTCATGCCTCAAATGATTCGAGTCAGGCCGAGTCCAGATCACTTTGTCATCAGTTCTTTCCACTTGGATCATACAAGTAGTGGCGGGCCCGTTTGTATTTTGAGAACCGCCCATATATTTGGCATTTGGCGCCAAAAAATGGATGAAAAAAAGTTAAAATCAAAGAAGCTGCAGCAAAAGCTCAAGAGGAGAAAACAAAGGAAAGAAAGCAAGATATGAAGTCCAACAAGTGCCAGCTTATTAGGCCAATTGGCCAACGCTCCATTACTTCTACCTTTCTCTCCTCCCATCGGTATAGTGATTGTGAGGGAGATGCGAGCATCAAAGCTCCTAATCGTAAGGGTACAAGGCCCTCGCTTTCCGATTTTCTTAACAGCAAGTTGCACACAAGTTCTGTGCTACCCACATCGGTTCAGGTTACTCTCTCTGCGTCTGAATGTGTGTGTGTGTGTGTGTGTGTGTGTGTGTGTGTGTGTGTGTGTGTGTGTGTGTGTGTGTGTGTTTGTGTGTTTGAAATAATACGGATGATTTCAATTCTTCTTAATTGATGTTTGAAATCAGCTCCCCGAATCGATATCCTCAAACCCTAATGCAGCCTCATTGTATTTTTGCTTCATGTGCAGGGGAAGTCGTAATTTGTGGGCTTAGCTTTTGAATGTATTTAAGAAATGCTTGTTTTTATTCACTGTGAAAAAATGGATTTATTTTAGGCTCAGATGAAGTAAGTTTATTTTCTAGTTATGGTCTTCCCATTTCGTAATTGCGTGATTTGGTTCGTTTTGAGGTCATATTTTTGAATCGACTCAAGGGGATGTTCAGAAAATTTTAAATGATTGAGGTTATCCGATTCATGGGTTATAGTGTAGACATCAAATTGTGGGAGAATGGGTTAAATGGATTTATATCTTCTATTGTCATTTAACAAATAGATGATGAACTAAAGAATGTAATATGCAGGGGAAAGAGCTGCCCTTTTCATGTCCAGTGACCAGAGAAAATTCTGATAAGAGTGTAAAAGGAGAGAGTCGGAAAAAGGATGAACGGGAAGAAGAATCAAAGTTTTTGATTGATGGTGCTTTTGATATGTTCAAGAATGTTCAAAAGAACTCCAGAGGTTTAGGCACTTCAAGTTCAGATAATGAAACCAACATTTTCTGCATCGATCACATTCACGAAACACGGAAGAGAAAAAATATGAATGAAGGTTTGTGTATTTCATTAAATTTTTAAGATTCTTACAAGGCCTATTATATGTTGATGTTGAATTATATGTAAGGTTAAAATCTAGAGAATGTTGCCTTGTACAGGTTTCCAAAATTAGTAAGTCCTTCACCCTACAACTTGTATGCAAGAACAGGAAGCTATATGAACCTATTTGATCAATCAGTTTCAAACATTTCATCCATAATTCAATCTGCTTCGACCAGTTACATGTGGAATCATGTGTATTAAAGCTATTTCGGTATGGACTCATTGCTATGAGTCTTTGGCCCATCACTTTTTGCAAGATTACATTATACATAGTAATATATGTGCATAGAAGCAATATCCTTACATACATAAAGAAAGTCCTGTCGAGAGGGCTGCTCGTGATTTTTACTTTGTATTTCAGAAAGAAAAAAGTATATTAAAAAATGAAAATAAAAATTGAACTCTTTTTCATTCAACTTGGCTTATTTCATTATCTCATTGGGCGAGACAAAACGTATGCAATGCGTTCAAACTTGATTGAATGATTTTTATATGCTACAGAATCGTAGATCCTTTTAGTCAGCAGTTATCTCCCATTCCGATTAGTATTCCTGGTTTGTTGAATTCAGTTCCATCATTAGCCCCTAAAAAGACTGCAGCTATTACATTCGGCCATCTTTCTAGAACTTTCTTATTGTCCCAAATTTTTAAAGATTGGGTTGGTAACACAGCCCTTGTCTTCACCTGTCTGAACCAAAAAATCTCATACAAAACAGTTAAACATTTGTGCCTCTTTTCTCTTGTGTGGAATATTATACGGTCATGAAGGTAAGCCATGTGGTCGAAAGCGGATGGCAGTCCTTGGAGAGGACTCAAAACCAGCACATAGGCCGAGGGTAAGAAGGAACTTTCCTGCCAATGATGAGTCTATCCCTCATTTCAATCACTGTGAGTAATTTCTTTTTTTCAGTCAACAAGACAACATTTCTTTCATTCTCAAATTAATGGCACTCTTTTCTTTTCTGTCTCTTACTTTTGGGATTGATCTCTTAAGTCTTAACATCCTTGTACGTATATATGTTTTTCACAGACGAGAATGGGGGCGGATGGTGGAATGACGATATGGCAGGTGTCGACACTGAAGAAGTTGGTTGCAAGAACGACGCATGGGAAGGTGTGGGGTGTACCACACTTGGCGGTATTGAATGGCATTAGTTTGAGCTCTAGCTTCCATTATTTCGATATCCCTTTGTGACTCTGTGTGTGTTATGTTTCTTTCTTTTCTTTGTCTCTTTTTTTTTTGGTTGAAGTTAAAAGTTTGTAGTAGTACTTATGTGTGAATGATGTAATGGTAGTGTGTGGTATCTCCTGAAATAGGTTTGAGAAACTGTCAATGCTTTTATGTTTGCAAGATCATCTCCAACCAAAAAATTCATTTTCAAACTTATTTGACAACAATAATTACATCAAATAGTAATTATTCTCCAATTGAAACACACATTCTCAAATTCAAAAGATTATTTTGAGAAAATTATTTTTTCATCAACTTTTACAATTTTTTATTACTGCCAACATATTTTACAATTTTGTACACCTATAAATTCTACTTTATTACGATTTGTATATTCAGTTTTAAAATACAAAATAAATTAACTATAAATTTGATAGTTAATAGCCTGTGGTAGATTTACTTTCGTCCCAATTTGACTAAAAGTTAGTGTAAGCCAGCGACAACAAGATGCATGCACAGTCCACAAGTGTACACCTTAGTTCTTCTTAGGTATTTGATAATATGTTTCACTGTAAACCAATGTCCCGTTCTCGGATTACTTTGATATCTAGCTACCATGCAAACGGTGTAGCTACTATCCGGCCTCCTACACAACATTGCATACATGAAGCTTCTCACCGCCGATGCATAAGGAACTACTTTCATATCTTTTATCTCTTGAGGTGTCTCGGAAGACATTTCCTTAGACAAAGGTATCCCATGTCGAAAAAGCAAGAGCCCTTTCTCAGAATCCTACATGATGAACCTGGCCAAGACAGAATCTATGTATGAACATTAGGATAAGCACAACATTCTCTTCTCACGGTCTCGAATAACACTAATACCAAGAATGTGCCCTGATTTACTTAAGTTTTTTTATATCAAACTGCTTAGACAACCATACATTTACGTCTGACAATTCTCTTTTATTCTTTCCAATTAGAAGTATATCGTCTATGTACAACACAAGAAACACCACCATGCTACCACTGCGCTTCTTGTACATGCAGTGCAAATTCCGGACATTGAGTGAACTCGTACGACTGGATCACCTCATCGAACCCAATGTTCGAAGACCTAGATACTCACGACCCTCTGCAATAAAACCTTCTGGTTGTTGTATATAGATGTCATTCTAAAGACTTCTGTTAAGAAAAGTCGTCTAAACATCCATCTGTCAAATCTCATAGTCAATATGAGTGGTTACAACCAAGAGAATCCGAATGTACTTAAGTATGGCTACTGGCAAGAAAGGTTCCTCATACTCGATTCTATTTTTCTGATAATTAATTTAATTACTGACAATTAATTTAGTCGACCTTTTGAACTGAAGCTAGTATTGTTCAATGTATTATTATTATGTTGAAATTTGAACCACCTGCAAGGTTTAACATAATAATCCTTCTGAACTCAGTTCGAGAACATCATCAAATATCAATTATGTGAAGTACATGGTGACACAAATATTATAACAGAGCACCATGTCATGTAGCAATCAATACCCAGAAAAAACAACTATTGGTCCATGCATAATAAACCTCACTTTGCTGAACCATAGCATAAACTACTACATACATGTGTCTGTTTATATCTTTCAGGATAAGAGAACTCAGTAATTTGCCGAGGCCAAGTTCATTTATGTCGATCAGCATAAAATGAACTGCTCTTATCTGGGATCCATTCAATACATGAATGTGTACTAGTGCGACTAATTGATCAAGACCGATTGTATTGTCCACACTACAATTGTTTCGATGGCTTGTTTAATTTCCATCTAGGTTGTGAACCAAATTGATTATGTTTTGCAAGTAACCGATAAATGATCTTCTGTCCATCCGTGATGAACCATTTATCTAAATGAAAAGCAATAAAACAAAGAACTTTGTTTAAGTAAACATGATATCTCATCCAACATGAATAATATGAATAACATCTAAAATCAAGCTTTCAGTACACACTTACAATCTTCCATTTATACTTAAAATTTTTGCTTTTCAACTATATATCTTTCAACCCTTATTCTAAATGACCTATGTCGATCCTGGCACCACACATTTGACTCCCATTCTTTCACGTGTCTGGCGAAGACTTTCCCCGACAGACTCTTCGTGAAAGGAATAGCTAGGCTGTCCTCTGATGCAATCTTGCAAACCTTTACATCTTATCTCCCTACCATTTCTTGTATTAGGTGGCATTTGCGCTCTATGTGTTTATTGGCCTTGTGGTCCTGTGGTTTCCTTGAGTTTGCTACTGCACTACCATTATCGCACTAAATTGTGACAACTTATGGTATACATGGAATTACTTCTAAATCCAGCAAAATGTTTATGAGCCATACATCCTCTTTCGCTGCTGCATAAGTTGCGGTATACTCGACTTTCTTGGCAGAGTCTATCACACATTTATGCTAGGTACTCTTCCACAAAATGGTTGCATCTCCCAGTGTAAACACGTAACCTAAGGTAAATTTACTTTGATCCCGTATGACTGGAAGTCGGAATCGGTGTAACCCAACGATAACGAGCTGTCTGCATGGCAAACTAACATGTACTTCTTTGTCGTTCTCAGGTACTTGATATATGTTTCACTGCAGATCAATGTCCCGGGCCTAGATTAATGCCTACATCGTAGCTAATATCGGGCCTTGTACACAACGTTGAATACATGAGGCTTCCAACTGCCGAAGCATAAGGAACTGACTTCATGTCCTCTATCTTGTGAGGCATCATATCAACATCCTCTCATACAAAGGTACTCTAGGTCGAAAAGATAATGATCCTTTCTTGCAATTCTGCATGCTGAATCTGGCATAGACAATATCTATGTATGATATTGGGATATGCACAATATTGTCTTCTTACGGTCTCGAGCGACCATAATACCAAGAATCTGTCCCGCCTCACTCAAATCCTTTATATCAAACTATTTAGGCAACCATACTTGTACGTTTGACAATTCTCTCATATCTTTCAATTTAGGAGTATGCCGTCAACGTAAAACACAAGAAACACCACCACGCTCCCACTATGCTTTTTGTACAATATCATTCATACGGACATTGAGCGAATCCACACGACTGGATCCCTTCTTTGAATCGGATGTTCTAAGACCTAGAAGTCTGTTTCAATTCATAGATGGACCAATCCAGTTTACACACGAGATGCTCACGACCTTTTGCAGTGAAACCCTCTGGTTGTTGCATAGGTATCTTCCTGAAGACTTTCGTTAAGGAAAGCCGTCTTGACTCCATTTGCCAGACCTCATAATCGATATGAGTGGCTACAACCGAGAGAATCTAAATGTATTTGAGCATAACTAATAGGTAGAAGGTTTCCTCATAATCGATTCCCTCTTTATGTGTATATCCTTTAACAAGAAGACTAGCTTTGGAGGTTTTCACCTTTCCATTCAATCGTCTATTTCTCTTGTAGACCCACTTACACCCAATAGATCGTACCTCATCGGGTAGTTCTACAAGATTCTAGACCTGATTGGAGTTCATTGACTCCATCTCAGCATTCATTGTAGTTTTCCATGATATTTCATCCTTGTCCTAGAGTGCCTCATCAAACGCTCAAGGGTTCGATTCTTGTTCCATCGAGACTAAGTCCAAAGACTCTCCTACAATATCGGTTCTGTGATTGATATACTGGGCTTTTGTTGTTGCCTTGTAATTGATGCAAGTTCATGTCAAGGAGCTTTCGCTTTATGTTCCAAATGGGGAGATTGTAAGTACTTGTGAAGTTTTGGCATTAAATTGACAAACTTCAAACTGAAGCCTGAAACTTTCATCATATTCTGGAACTGCACTGAAAGATAAGGGAAGTTTTTATTATTTTTTTATTTTATTTTATTTTAAGTTTCTTGATCTTATTTTGTTAAGTCGGCTGATTAACTTAATTTATTTGAAAGAAATCGAGAAGAAATAAATTCGTTTTGAAGCAGCCACAGTTGACGAGATAGAAGGTTTGCACTTACCATCCAAGAGAATCTCAAAATATGTGGAGATTAATTACCATATGTAGAGGTAGAGAGAATAAAGAAGAACTTACCTTGCAAAGAAACATTTCACAAGGGACCAATGGCTAAGTATGGAAGAGAAATAAGGCAAGATGGACTTACCATAGTAAGGTGACATATAATGTTTTTACGCACAATGGAGAGCATGGAGTTAGTTATCTGATTATCATCATTCTGTAAAAACTAAAGCGATTTAGTCGTAAGAGATTAACATTCTTATTGTGATTATTTTTGTTTTGATTGAGTGGAGACGAAAGCCTGTTGTCGATCTCATTGTTGAGCATATACATAACTTAGAAGAGGGAAAGTGTTCTGGAGGATTACTTAGAACAATAGAATTGTGTTGAGAAAATCCACAAGGAATTTGTGATCAGAAAAGTACTTGGATAGGTGATTGCTTTGCAGGTTCAGAAGAGGGAGTCTTATTTGTAAATCCTAAGCGTAATGGGCCAAACACCTATATATATGAATGAGTTCTGGAGGGAATATCTGGATGTTTTCCTAAATGTTCATGTTTTGCAGTACCTTGCTTCCACAATTAAGTGAACATACATTAACGTTCACTGTGTTACATTGTTAGCGAAATTTTGTTATATCTCCCCTAAACATCACCATCAACATAGTCTGGTTCCTTTTCATTCACCACCCCATCACTGAAAACTAAAGCTCCAAACCCACTGCTTTTTTTCTAAGGGAGCTTTATAACTTCTATTTGAGGTATTAACACCTAAATCCTATTCTACCCCTATATCTAGGTCTTGGCTAATATATTATTTAGAATCCTAAGTACTAGCGCCACCAGACATATAGGACCTGAAGTTTCTAGATTCACTAAGACTACTACTATTTGCCCTTAACCACTCTTCAAATTGGCCCAAGTTAAACATATTTTTTGTAAGGTCCTCTTTTTTAGTTGGATAATTTC